TGAGCCATTTTTTCACTTCACAAATCCTTCCAGTGCCAAATTTTATGTTGCTACATGGTATGGCTAAAATGATGTTGATGCTTATGATGATGATATGGTGTACATATTTTGGGCACACAAAAGTGAGTTGTGAAGAAGGTCCTGTTAGTGTAATGGCAGTGGAATGTGCAAATCCAAGTAAATATTAAACATATCTCTTTGCAAGTGAAGTGAACTTGGGGTGCAAGCGTTCTCTTATCGAATTTGGCCAATAGCATAACCATCCTTTCTCTTCTCACTGCACACAGGCCACTCCATATTGCAGCTCGAAACGGATTGGCCTCTGTTGTCCAGGCTCTGCTGAGCAGAGGTGCCACTGTGCTTGCTGTGGATGAAGAAGGTATGAATCATTCACATCTGGAAGCTCAAGGCAGGGGTTCATTTAGTATGTGAGGGGGACAACAAAGTTTGATGTAGTAAAGATACCCGTCAAGGCAGAAAATCAAGAGTCCAGGCAGTTCAAATGAATTCATAGGTTTATTGTTAGCTAAAACTCTCTACAGGAATCTGAACTACTAACAATCAAAGCAAATTGGTCGCAGATAAGAGTCAGTGGAATTCAAGGTGGGCTGGACTTAGACCTCTTATGGACTTGAAGGGACTTGAGACTAATAACACATTTGACTCCCCCACCCCATACCGACTCAGCCTGATCAACACCTGCAATACCTATCTTAGTCTGTCTAAAGCAACTTTCCAATCTGGCACACTCTCCAGATGTGTTGTAACTATCCCAGAAATTCTAGCCTTCACAGCCAATGGAATTATGAGAGTTCCAGTTGTAAAGGTGGAAGTTTAGTGTAGTGATTCTTTGTCTCTCAAGACAGAATACAACATTATGAATTATTGTGTACAGGGACTCACATTCCTCAGAAATAATATGCAGAGTTGGAAAATACAGCTTTTCCTCCAGCCCTTTGATTAAGGTGGAATGTTTGTGTAATAGAGTATTATTTTGCTCATGCTAAGTACAGTTGTTATTTTTTCCAGTGGTGGTTGTTCTTATCTATTTTTAGTATTGTTTGCCTCCCAGGGTTAATATGAAACCAGATGGTTTCATAAAGTACCTGCATATTATAAAAATGAGGATATAGAGATATAGAAATATAGAGAGGGTTTTCTTACCTACCCCATGAAAATGAAACTCAGTGGCTGATGTTAAGGACAAGAAGATTTTTGAGAAGTTAAAAATGATTTACAGAGCACTTGGTTAAACTGTGATATTTGTTGCCATGAGTTAGTTTGCGGGTGCTTCACTTAGATGGTTTGAAAAGGGGATGAAGCAGATTCATGGCCGTCAGAGCAGGAAGTCTTCAACTTAGGGCCACAATTGGGACCAGAATCTTGGTTATTGAGCAAAGTGGTCCTTAAGTGAGATGTCCAATGACTTCTTTGCTCAGTGACTGCAATCTGGCAGTCCAGTTGTAATTGTTGAGCAGTCTCATTCATTAAGAGGATGGAGTGCCAGGTAGGGAGTACGGAGTGCCTCGGTGCGGGACGGGGACACTGGGAGGTCTGGCATAGGCTGTGCACGAGGATCTGTCATCTTAGGAGCTGAAAATCCTACCTGCCAAAACCCAAGCAGGATTTTCAGCCCATAGGTTGCAAAGAGACTTGTGTGTGATCTATGCTGGGCCTCTCACACACCCCTGAAGCACCTCCACACTCCTTATATTACCAGGCTGCCTCTCCTCTAAGAACCCTGCTTGGATTTTTAGCTGCCTCTCATCCCTGGGGACTGGCTGAAAGAGCTCCCTCCTGAACAGTTTCAGCTCTGTTGACTGCTTGGATTTCAGTAAGGAGCTCTTTCAGCCAGTCTCTTGTCGGCAAATGACAGCGGCTTGCAACCTTTCTTGCTGACTTGCCCATTGACTTTCTGGGGAAGGCAGCAGAGAAGATTGCAAATTGTGATCACATGATTGCAGGGTGCTTGGCAACTGGTCATAAGTGAATAGGTTGCCAAGCATCCAGATTGCAATCACATGACCTCTGTGTGTGTGTGTGCGAGAGAGAGCGAGACAGAGACCTTTTGCAATGGTCCTATGTACTTTATAAGCTGTAAAGTACCATTTCTGAGGCCCCTGTTAATTCGAACCGCGATAAGTGGAGGACTACCATATCTCTTAGCCTTAATGGCTGTCTCCTGTTTCCTGAATTTTCAGTAGGAATGAAATTGAAACAGTATCATCTTAAAAGCACCTCCTTGTGTTGAAAATACATAGTCGATATTTAATGCAAGGAATTCTGAACAGATACTCCAAACCATCCCTTTAATTTGTAATCTGTTGGCCCCTTTTCCCTCATGAATGGCTTTGCTTTTGTTGCTGCTGCTGTCGTGGAACTGAATTTGTTTGTCTTTTCCAGGCCATACCCCAGCCTTGGCTTGTGCCCCCAACAAAGACGTTGCTGACTGCCTGGCACTTATCCTTTCCACCATGAAGCCTTTTCCACCTAAAGACGCCATCAGCCCTTTCAGCTTCAACCTCCTCAAGAACTGCGGCATTGCTGCCAAGACAGCCGCCTGCAGCTCCTTGCCCAACGGGAACAGCTGCCCCTACACCAAGGATAGGCACAATGCCATCGGCTTAGATGGCTGTTATTCGGAATAGCTTAAGAAAAACCATGATGGGTGATCTAGTATCTCTTCTATTTATTTAGGAATTCTATCAATATAGGACACTTTAAAGGAGAACAAGACTGGGAATGGGCCTTCCAAAAGGTCCTAGGAACCAAAAAAAAAAAAGGAAAGGAAAGGAAAGAGAAAAAAAAACCTAGAGAAAGTGATCTCAGCTTCTGCACCCTACCTAGATACTTGCTTTGACCACTAGCATTTCTTTTGCTATCAAAATTAACAAAGAGAAGTGTGGGTTTTCAGACACATCCTTTTTAAAGATGTTTTTGTTTAAAATTACTCTGTGAAGCTTTAAATAAAAAACCTGCTTGTATTCTTCTTTCCCGGCTATTTGCCAAAGGGTATTGCCCGATGCTTCTGAGTTCAATGTTTTTAAGCAACCCACCTTTTTCAGTCGAATTCCTCAAGGCTTGATGCCTTGAGTGAAGAGCCAATTAAATTTATTTCATGCAGCCGGTTGTGGCAGCAGCCGAAGGACCTGAATTTGACCCTCTTCACTGTGTCTCCCACACTTCCCCTCTGTTGGGCCACCTTACCATTTGGGATCCTTTTTTTCTGTGCCCTCGGAATAAAAATAATTCCGAGGGACCCAGCAGGATAGGCAGGGAGCAGAAGCCTGAATTGCCGCTGCTTTTTTGTTTTGCATTTTGGAACGAGGACAGGGAGGATGGTCAATGAGGGGCCACCAAGAAGGGCAGCAGCCACTGGCAAAGGGCCGCTGTCGTTGCTTCTTCCCGTATGGTAACTTCTGTTTGTTTGTTAGTTTGTTGTGCTCGCCCTGTTTGATTCCAGTGAGAAACACTTGAACTGAGAACTACTGTACCTGGATACTCAGATACTTTAGGCAGCTCGTAGTCCCTTGCGTGCACCATGGATGCTGTTGCCCAGCCAACGCGGTTCTTCTTTATGAAAAAAAACAAAACTTGTGTATGCGCTGCCAGAATTATCCCAACCACATCAGGCACTTTAGGGATCTTCTGTTTTTGGAGGCTGGGGTTTTTGTGGGGGGTATTTTTGGGGGGTGGGGGGAGAGGAAAGGTTATCGGGATTGCAAACTGTTGCATCCCCAAAGAGAATTTATTTTGTGGTTTCCCCCTGCCTCACTCCCGTCTCTTTGTTGTGCAGTGTTTCCCATTAGACAAGTCAGTGTTGCCTAAAAAAGTTATTTATAAAGCAGCAAGCATATTATCTTTTGAAAAACAGCAAAAAGGAAAAAAAAAGAAAAAGAAAAAAGCTTTTTGCAAGGAGAACAATGCACTTCAGAATCTTACAATCCTACATTCGTATTTATAATTTTTCCAACTAGATTAATATCCAGCAGGTTTCATTAAGGTGTGTGTATCTGTCTATCCGTCCATCCATGGGTGGGGCTAGTTTGAGTGCGTATTTTTTTATTTTAAAATTCCTATTTATTACACATTTTGAGTGTGTGCACTGTTTTTCTTTTTGTACTGTAAACTGTTATCGTGTAGAAACTAACAAAAAAAAAAAAGATTACCATATCACAAAGTATGTTCCAAGCCAAAGATTGGGATGTAGCAATCAGATGAAAGCTGCTGGGGCAGAACTTTATGACCTAATAATTTTTTCCATCGTTTTCGCAGTCCTGTGGTAGGCTTGGGACTGCATTTAGCAGAACATGTGAATTTTCAAGAATGAATTATTCCAAGGCATATAGTATGTTTGGACCAGCAAGCTTTAAGGCTAGTAACCCTGGGAAACAACTGGTTTTTATCCCCCCCCTCCCCCCCACATATCTTCTTACAGACTCTCTTTGATTGTTAAGGAGAATATATGAGCCAGCTGTAGACTTGAATTCTTTTGCGTCATGGTGCATTTTACACTTTTGACAATGTATAGAAATTTAAAATCCAGAATTTAAACGGGCAGGCAAACTATACCTCCTCTGCCCTGGCCTTTTCATTACCAGATTTATGATGCAGAGTGAACACCAGTGCAATTGCTAGAACCGTATTTATTTGCATTGACTGGTTTTCCAAAATAAAAATAATAGTAGAAGAATCAGGAAACAGCCAATTTAGAGAGAGTGGCTAATGGCTAGATATTTCAAAGGGGAGAGTTGAATCCGGAAGTGAGAAAAGATGATGATGAAATAATGTGTAGACAAGACACAAAACCCTTCCTTTTGGCACTGTTTGAATTTACCAAAGCCAAATTCCTACAGCCAAATGACACAGCCACTATCTTGCCCTTTGCCAAGCAGTGCATTTTTAAAAGGATACGATCGCTTTCTTTTTCTTCTCTTTTTATGGAGCCTTCCTCTGCCCTCCACCCAGCCTCCCCCCCCCCCCATGGGTTTTGTAGACTAGGGCGCTACTAGCTTAGCTGTTTTGTCTTTCTTGGGTTCCCGAGGACTCTTAAGAAATCTTTTCATTTTGCAGCTGCCGGGTAATGAGCATATTAAAAGTTTCAATGCACTTGCCAAAAAAGCACAGCAGACAGCCTGTTGCAGATTGGCCATTAATGTTTTCACTGCACTATGGTTGGGTTACTTTTCTCTGTTCTCGGTTGCTCCACATTCTCTACCTTGAAAGAAAGTGTTAACCTTTCTACACCAAATACCTCATTGTTGGAATAGAAATGAACAAAACTTGAATTAAAGATTCCTCTTTTCCCCTGTCCCCCACTTTTTGATGAGAAAGGTCCTTTTCGGCATCCTGTAGAAGGAGAGCTGAAAACAAAACAAAACCACTTGTTTACATTTTATTAGGTACTAGCAATTTACTTCTTTCAAATTGCCTAATTTTATTTTAGCCTTCTAAGCGCAATCTTTTTGTGACCCACCCACCCCCAAAAAAGTGGGGGACATAAGTTGGGAGGGCCAAAGTAAGTCTGAAGCCACTTTTGGTCATTGATTTCTTTTCAAGGGCTAAATGAATAATCTTCTAAAGGCAGAAACTGGGCTGAGACATTTGTAGGAAAATGGACGGGGGAGGTCCAGTGTTCCTTGCAGTGCTGAGAACTAGGAGGCCTTCCCAGAGGTGCAATGGTTTAAACCATGGGTGTCCAACCTTGGCAACTTTTAAGACTTGTGGACTTCAACTCCCAGAATTCCTCAGCCAATTCTGGGAGTTGAAGTCCACAGGTCTGTATTCACCCCAAGCCGTGTCTTTGTGGCCTGGAGGAATGTGGACTCATTGAGAAATCCTAGCACAGTTTGTTCTTACAGAAGAGAGAGAAACCCATCCCCCCCCCTTTCTTTTACTTCTGTGTATTGAATTGTAGTTGCTTTTGTAGCAGTTTTTTGGAATGAATATAGCTTGAATGGTTTATAATTTCTACAAGAGGTCTTGAACCAAGGTGAACCTTCCATGGACCACAGTCCTTAGAGAGCAGAGATGCTACCTTCTCAGTGTTTATGTTTTGTTTTTTAAAAAAGCAGGAATGAAATTTGAAGGAAGGGACAGAAACTGAGATACAATCAGCTTTCTGAGATAAATTTTAGAATAAGGGAATTTCCTAACCCTACTGTCAGATGAATTGGGCTGGCATCAGTTTTATTACGTTACCTCCTTATATTAGAACTTGTCGTGGGTTTGTGCAGGACTTCTTTTGCTGAACTGATGAAAAATAATCAGGCAGGATCTTCTTTTTAATTGCATTCTTGCCAAAAAATAAAATAAAAAAAGGGCATTCCCTTTCTTACATTTCATCCTAAAAATTGAAGATATGACAATCAATGTGATCTTTTTAAGGGCTTCAGTGTACTTAGCTCTGTAGCATTGCACATTATTATATTTCTAGTGTTCCATTTAACTTTTTCCTTTTCCTTAAAAATGATGGCAAAGAAAAAAAATGGAGTGGAAACAATTCCAGCAGCGCATATCTAAATTAATATATTTTGTCACTTTTTTTAAAACAAAACAAATGGAGGCAGCATTTGGGTTGGGTGGGAAGAAATGTGGCCAGCTCTATTTTAGTTGCCAGTCTTGTTCTCCTTTAATGCTGTAACATGTACATTTTGACAGCACAGCTTGACAGTTTTAAGTAATAATTCAAATGTCTGGTGGTAATAACTTGCATTATTGTGCTAAGATGAGAGTTGGTTTTCCCTGGTGCATTGTAAAAGAGGGCTGGAGGCAAACTTCCTTTTTTACTTCCTGTCTTTTCTCCCACCGCCCCTTCCCTCCAGTATTCTGCAAGCACATTTAACTTCCTGGTGTGCAGTATTTTACACAGGGTTGGGAGAAAACGGGGAGTGGGGGCAGAAGAGGAATTTGCTTACAGCTTCTTCCTGTTGCCATCTTATTTAGGAATGGCATAAAATCTATTTTAACCGTGCATCCTTCTTTGCATCTTAGAAGACCCTGCTCCTAATATTTCTGGATGGTTTTTTTCTTTTCACTTGTCTCAAAAAGCAATCATGGGGCTTCCCTTCTTAACCAATCCAAATAAGGAAGTTTTTCTCCAATCACCTTTCTCCGAAGCACTTGCTTTACAAGTTTTAAAAAAAAGCACTTTTGTTTAAAAGCATGAGGGTCTGATTACCCCCTTTTATAAACAACCTATAGGAGAAAGGCCAGCAAGGGAATACGGGATCAAGAAAAGCCTATTTTCCTTTTTGTCCCTCCCCCCACTTTAAACAAAAAAAAAACATGTCTGTTGGGAGGGAGGTGGGTGGAGAATTATTTTAATTTACTTCAGGGCTCTAGAGTCATGGTTCTAGGGTTCAGAGAATTAGAACAAAGGGAAGTTGTGTTTTAAAAAATAAACAGCACAAATACATTTCAGCTTGACAAGTGTATTTGCACTGCCATTGTTAAATAAATGGGCCTTCCGCTGGGAGCCCAGCTGAGCCATATAACTATTGACAAACACTGAATGTAAATGTCCTTGTAGAGGGCAAGTACTGAGAAGCGATAAATTGATCATATATTCCTAAGTGGGCACTTCAGCAAATTTAAAATAATTTAACCTGATAAAATGATGCTGTTCCTTTTTTCTAAAAATGACTTTATTTTGTTTACTTTTCCCCAGGGGTTGCTGGAGCTTAAGAAAACCCATTTGTAGCATTGTTATTGTTCATTACTTTTACACTCTCTTTGTCCCCTTTCCCCCACCTTTGCCCAAGGAATTCATGGGATATAGACATCCCACTCTTAATATTTCTAAAGAGCTGTAATGTAAGAAGTGAATTATGAACTTACAGGATTGGAATCTGTGTCCCCGAAAGTGATATGTAGATTAGCACCCACAACCCTTGTATATCATCTAGTCTGGTTTCTTGGTTTGGTACAGTGGATTACCAAAGGGGCCTCTCTCTGGTTAGCTTCTGTACAGGCTAAAGGCGCAAGAGACTTCAAATCTCCTTTAGGGTTAATGCTCACTTTGTATTGAGAGCTAGATCCAAACATTTTGGCTTCCTTCTGATAGGAATGTGATAGTTGATCCAAGGACATGCCAGAATACCTTGCAGGTAGGCAAATTGGAGTGGAAAAATTCCTCCTAAAGATAGGAATTTTTAAACTCCAGCCAGTATAAGGTATTCTGGCACAGCTATGAACCTTAATGTGAGCAATCTTTTTTTTTTTAAAAAAAATCAGTTATTAAAATAAATATCCAAGCACGTAATCTTCCCTTCTCTTCTTGTTGAGTCTTGGAAAGTATATTCATAATATCCCATATTTAACTCTCCTCATTACTCATGTATTTTTCCTCAGAAACATTTCCATGTCAAATTGTGGTGCAATTCCGTTCTGATTAGCTATTCGCCCAATAGTGCCAAAGAGATGACAAGATTAGGAAAGGTGGTGGAGAGAGATTCTGTGATCTTTCATAGCGTACTTGGCTTTTTAAAAACAAATTATTTAAGCTCTAAACTCAGTTCAGCTTGGCCTTGAGCATATTTTTTATGTGCAGGAAAATGGTGGGAGAGGGAGAGGAACCACCATCTGTATTGGAATTGTAAATGTGAAAACTTTGAATTGTTTCATTACTATAAAACCTTCTTTTGGTGGATTTTTTTTTAAATGGGTGCTTCAGTATCAAGCATGTAGCATTTGAGGGGAAAAAATGTGACTTCAGCATCGCTTAACTCCTACAAAGTCAATGTTAAAGAAGAGATGGAGATATATAGATTATTTTTTTCCCCACTGAAAGCAAGGAGGAATGTTAATTGCAGGTGGGATTCTGTGAATTTTGAAGCAACTATTTCATTTGAATCATGAATTTGGGGGAACAAAGAAAAAGCTGTTAATGTTACAAATAGGTAGAAAATATTTTGGGTTGGGAGGGGGATAGATCTCTTAAGTCTCCCGTAAGGCATCTGTAGCAAGTTCTTAGTGTCTTTCTTTCAGTGATCTATGTGTAAATGCTGCACCAATGTATATTATGCACATAAAAACATTTCTTTGAATAAGATAGGACAGACCTCATCTCCAGTCAGGTATAAACTATTCTTCCTCTTTTGTGTGTTGGTTTTTCTCTGTGTGTGGATGTGTGTGTGTGTGTGTATATATATATACCTGTATGCGATGAGCATCTTTTCAGATTCACTTTTGGTGCAAAAACAAAAGGGATGAAAAAAGAAAAGAAATAAAAATAGCCTTACTTTTAATTCCAATCCTATCTTAGTTTGTCAACTTGAATATAATAAAGCAGAATTGCATGGAAGTCTTTGAAACTAGCTGAGCCTCGTGTGCACGGTGAGTGGCAGTAAACTTTTTTTCTAAACAAAAAAATTAGTATGCAATTTCAGCCACACAGCTTTTAGAAAAATCCCTGCATTTTTTTTTTAAAAAAGAATGGCGCGCGGGGGGTTGATTATACCAGCTTGTGCCTGCTTTGCCTTCTGAAAAACTTGGGAATTTGTTCCCACTCGCTCACCCTTCATGCTAACCAGAAGAGAGATTTCATAAAGAACCCTACCTTGTATTCCTCCCCCCGTGAAACCAGTGTTTTCCAGATGGTAGTAAGAATTTTGATAACCTCTTTGGACATCAGGTGTACTGACAGTATAGATTAACAGCATGTTTAGTTACTGGAGATAATAGGGAGGAAAATGAGGACAGATACATCAACAGATGGTTCAGATTAATCTGCTTCCCTAGTGTTGTATCCTGTTTGGCCTGCAGAAATTATTACTATATTTTATATACACCTGCATGTTGCACTACTATCAGCAGTAGGGAAAAGGCCAAAAAAATGACTGGAAGTGGGGAAATTACTCGAGTTGGTCTTTTGACCTGCACCGTGGATATGTGAATCTATTGTGTAACCTTTGTCCCAGTCATTTGGTTGCAGCACTGTAAATCTGGGATCCCTTCTGTCAACTTGATTATGAAGATAAAGAGAAAAGTTAGTTTCAAGTCCTGCCTCTTTGTTGAGATATAACTAGGATTTGTCAATGTACAGCTGTCCCCTCTAAATTTATTATTCGTACATGCAATCCTCTATGATTGTTCATCTTTAATTTTAAGAAATGCAAGTAGCCTGGATATTTGGGGGAGGGGGGAAATAAATGGTATGGCCTCACAGAAACAGATGTTTCAGACTTGAGAACAAGCTTAGGTTCTTACGTTCTGATAATTTCTTTGTTATCTGAAATTTGCACTAATCAGTTGACGATCTCTTAGGCAAAATTGGAAATAGAGGCATGAACCAGCAGAGCAAAGATCAAAACCAAAGGGAAAATTGGTACGGCCGGTTCTTGGAATTGGATACAGAGAAGACTTCCCTATAGTGTTAGGCATCTTGTAGACAACGTTGAGCGGTTTGGGCTCACTTTTTAGAATCCCACAGCATACCAAAGTAAACTCTTTATACTGACAGAAACAAAGGCCAGTGAAGGAATTAGCTTTTAAAATGAGAGAACCAGAAAAGATAATTGTCAAAGGTGAGATATGGAAACATAGCTTTATGGATTAAAAGTGACTAGGGCATTATTGGATTGTGTTAGTTGCCAGTTATTAATATTTTGAAAGGCATTTTTGTTGGTTCACTTGAAGATATTTATTGAAATGGCTGCTGATAGTTTTGTATGCATGTCCTTACTTGAATGTTTTGGGGAAAAAATAATGAAAGGAAGTTCCTGGAATGCAATTGCAGTTAACCTAGGTGTTATGTCAGCATCTCTGGCTTGCTGACATGGGAGTAGGGAAAATAAGTAAGAGTGAGGGAAATGCATTTAAAGGCAGCCTGCAGGCATTTCTCCAATTTCTTTCCCTGCTTCTCCTCTATCTTGAGATTACTCTTTTGTCACTATCCAACTGAATCTTTTAGAAAGGGAGAATGTTAATCCAGGCAGTTAGATTTCAAAGTAGATATTGAAACAGATATCATATTGAAAAGAATACTCTTAAAACGTTACCCATTCCAGACGCCTTAGCTACCTGACGTGAATGTAGCTTGTTTACCTTATGAGAAGAAGCACCTTACAATGTTCTTCTATCTTCCTTGTAGTGAAAAGGCTAATTTAACATTGATAGGTTACGTAGGACGCCCATTTTGGTAGGAAGGATTTGCACTGAATAAGGGGAGTATCATGGTAGTTGGGTCAGGTCCTTCTCAAATATGAACTCTAAATTGGCTCCCCCATCTCGCTTATTTTTTTGCCTGACTTCTTTTATCCTTCATCTCATAAAGAAAAGCAGGCAGCCGATTTAAAATTTCTTTTTATTTCCCCTTCTCTCAGTTTTCTCTTGTATACCAAGGTGACAGATCTCTTGGGGGTTCCTTTCCTAAAGTGAGCAATGCTTAGTCATAAAGCCTTATGAAGTATGCCAGCTTTAGTCCATGTCAGAGTTGGAGGATATTGGATCTCAGGTGGAGTGGGTTGATGCAGGACATTTATCTAGCTTCTTCAAACCTAACATTGCCTTCTTTCTGTTTCTGCAATCCGTACGTATTACTCTAGTACCTTAAAAATTAGTTGCGGGTATGGTGACTCCATTCTTTGTATGTTTGGTTTTGAGATTTATACTCCCACTTTTCTGGGGTGGTTTTGAGATGTATAATCCAACTTTTCTGGGGTGCAAACACCAGCTTTGGGAAAGCTGAACTAAAACAAAATGTGTGTTAATTCTTGCTAGGTTAGTTTTCTTTCTGTCCTGCTGTAATTTGATGCTATGTTGTATAGATTCAGAGCTTTTAAAAATTGCACTAAATATGTATGTAGCAATTTCTGATTTTTCATTTAATTTCTCCTGACCTACCCCAAACAAATCAAGCAGTTTTTTCTGTTAGTAGGGAATGGCATAAGTTATTTGCCATTTTTTTTGTTCTTTTTAGCTTTCTAATGGATCTTGCTTCATTTCCCACCAAAGCAGCACTATATCAAACCTAATGCTGAATTCTTCAGTTTCATTAATTTTTTTAATCCTTGTATTATTATTTTTTTTACAAATTAATGTTTCTCTCCCCCCCCCCCATTAATACATTTTATCAATTACTGCTGTTATCTGTTTTCTAATATTTGCAAGTGATTTCAAAGTATTGGAACAGTGCCTCAGTGCATGACTTCAGTCCCAGAGCTTCGGGCCCTCCAGGCTTCTACCAAAACACAAGTGCAGGTTTATATTTACAAGTTTGTATTTACAAGCAGAAATTGATAACTAGGCTTTCTCTCCACCAGCCCCAGCCCTTCCCCACCTGCTAGTTTTTCACATGAGAAAAGGATACAAGCTATAGCTGAGATTTTACCCTCTCCTTTTCTGGCACCAAGCTTAGGCCTTCCACAAATCCAAGAAGAATGTGTGTGTTTCAGAAGTGATGCCTAAGTAGAACCTAATTTTGTGCTGAAGAATTGTAGAAAAGTGGCAATTACTGGTCATATACTAAAGGGCCTGGCCCTTCTCCCCCCAGCACTTGGGCCTTTGAGGCTGAACTAACTTGGGGTAAGAATAGGGCCTCCTTCTGCTTTTCTTAAATATCCATGTTCATAGAATAAAGCACAAACAGGGTTTTCTCTAGTAGATTAATTCAGAAGAGAAATCTACAATAAAACTAGGCAAGTGCCCAAGTGGTTGCTTAATAAAGAAATGAGAATTATAAGCAGCTATGCAACTTTCTAGATATAAATTGTATAAACTATCACTATCCTTACAGTAGCACTCTCAAAAGTGATGATAAGAGCTACTATCCTTATAGTAGCAGTCCTTACCACTTGAGTCCCAGGTTGCAATGAGAGTAAGCATGGAAAAAGAACACCCACTCTGATGATTTGTTGAGAATGTGTTGAGGCAAATGGGCCCAATTATAAGTGGAAGTGGCTTGAACTCTTAGCTTTTCGCAAGTTTCATTCTTAGTTCTTTTCACAAGAATCTGACAAAAGCTCTCAAGTTGCATTCATATGTGAGAAGTAATTGTGTTATACAATTACTTTAGACTGTTTACCTTCCAAATTAAGAAGAGACAGGAGAAATGTTATACTAATTGGCTAAGATGTGCTTAGGTATTTTTATGCTAAAATGCATATGCATGTCTCTCCCCCCCCCCCCCCCCTCTCAAAAAAAAGCTTCCTAACACAATTTTTCCACCACTACTTTTCCAAATCCCATCTTAGCATCCTCCAGATTTTCTGGGTGCCAGCATTCATCTTCCTTACCCAGTGTGGCCATTGGCTCACAGACCAGAAATTTGAGAGTTGGCGAAAGAAATTTAGAGGGCACTAACATAGAAGACAATCATCTTGTGTAAATTTCAGATCTAAGGCCCTACTTCAATTGATGTTACGATAAGGGATGTATAGAGTAGTTCATATTTCCCTCCTCCCCTCAAAAGATAGGGGACTCCACATTCACAACTTCCTTAAGTCTAATATGAATGTTAGAACTTTCAAACCCACTCAGGTGTGAGAAGACTCTGTGTGCTACATGTTGCTCAGAGGAAATAAGTTACATCAATGAGACCTGCAGTTTGCCGTTAATCCCCCCCCCCCCAGTCTATATTTTGAATCTAGGATTGGGAAACCATGTTGACAATCTAACTAGAGCGTGCCTGCCTTTGTTTTCTTGAAGTAGAACTGTGGACATAACTATTATTACTGTTAGCATTCCTGTTGCATGTTTGTTTTGAATTACTTGGTCATGCCTTCTGTGCAATTTGGAAGTCACGAACTGGGGTGAAATTGGAAGCTTGGGATGGTTTTCCTTTGAAGACCTGGAGGTGTTGCTTTCTTTTCCTCCCATTGGGTTCATGACAGACAACGCACACAACGCACGCCCCTGTAACAGCCAACCTGCTGGGTTTTTTTTACTAGTTGTGGGCTTGTCTTATAGCAATACTTGTTGGCTGTGAGCTTGCGGGCACTTAAAAAGGTTACCTGTGCTTGAAATAGATTTCTTCTTTGGGAGCAGCAATAAAGGGGATAGAGGAAGGGGAGGGAGAATAAAACTGATTGCTGTGTTGAGGGTTTGTAGTCCATTCTTATAGTTTGTACTATTGGGTGTTTCGTGTTCTGTTTTGTTTTTTTTAAAAAAATGGGAGGGAGGGTGCATTATAATGATAAAAATAGAAGGATTTTTAAGTATTGTGATAATTCTTTATAAGCACTGATTTTCAGTCCCAATGGGAGCTTTCTGCTTGAAAGCTTCAGTGACCTTTCATCTCTCATGTACTGTACCTTTCCCATAGTTGTCTTTGTTGCTTTTACCTGTTCTTTCCTTCTCCCTTGGTTTCTTTACCCTGAGATGCACAAATGGTATGTACTTTTTAAGGGGGCACCCTAATTGTGTGGGGTGTTTTTGTCCGTGTAAGGTAGATGCAGCCAATATTTTGTGACCATGTTTGTTAGTCATAGGTGACTTAGACAATATATTCTATCTGCATGAGCCGCAAACTCTGCTTTCCCCCCTCCTTACTCTGTCTTTTCTTCCCAGCCATAGCTGCAAGTATGCAACAAGAGTTGGGGAGGAAAATGTGAGGGCATTGCACACATCGTACACTTTCCTTGTTTTAGCTTGGGAGGGCAGTCTAATTTACACATGTATATTTTCCAGCCTGTCTTTTAAGGATTGACAAAGATACCTTTAACTGTTGATACTAACACATTGTGGAAATAATGGTGCAATTCTTTCAGGGTGGCTTTAATCAGCAGAAGATCAGGCCAGGAATTTTTTTTTTTTAGTCCTTGTATAAATAACATAAAATCTTAAAACATGAATTCATTCAAAAACCCCTTTGCCTAGCTCCTTTTTCTTGGCTGCTGAGCACTACTCAGTTTCTTGCATTTCAGTCTGGGACCAAAAACCTTATAAAGTCGCCCATAATAGCTAGGAGAACCACAATAAACCGTCAAAGGAAATCTGTCCCATCCACTGAAAATGGAGACAAGAGCATTAAAGCAGCCTTTCCCAACTGCTGCTGGTTAGATGTGCTGGATTTTAACTTGCTCATCCCTTTGGCTGTGCTGGCTTGGGCACTGTGGAAATTGAAGTCTGCCCAGCTGAGGCGCAAAGGTGGGGAAAGGGTGCACTACAGTATTTTATTTTTCTTGCTTAACCTGTAACTGCTGCTTATAAGTGGAAGGCTTTTCGTCTTCCATGTTGAATCGTTTGGTCCAAAGGCATTCAAAGAAGAGTGTGTATTCTGACACGATGTCAGTTTAAGCGTTCTGTTAGCTTTAGCTGCACATTTGGGGCAAGGTTTCTAATCCTTGGTTAGCATTACCATAGTATTTTCTCTTAATTGCATGGAGGCCAGTGTGCATCTCATTTTGGCTTCGGCATCAGTTCTTAAAGAAACTGAAGTTGTGCCAGTTTAGAAGTTGTTTTACTAGACTTTTTTTTTCTTTTCCTTTTTGTCTGTTGCAGCCAGCTGAAGGAATGCGGGACACTTGAGGAGCCCTTGGCTCTACAATAAAAAAAAAAATGGTTCTCCTCCTCCTTTGATTAAGTTCTCTGCATCTGAGGTCAGAGCCATAGACTCTGACTAGAGCAGGTCAAGGATTTCCACTTAATCTGTGTGTGTGAGAAAAACAGATTTGGAGAAGAGGAATGGATCTTAGCATTCCCCTTTAAAGTTGCCTGCCCTTCGAGCAAGCACTTCACATTGTGTGCATGGGTATTTGCATGCAGAGTCTTCATACGTATTCATAACAAGTGATGTTAAGATTGGCTAAAGTGGTAAAGTCGAATCTTGTTTTATTCCTTTCACATTTTTAGGGTCCCTCTGATAAATATAACATCTAGTTCTGGAAAGAACTCTGGGAAGTGAGCTTGGGGTGGTTTTCTGACAAGAGTTTTCTGAAACGAAACCATCCTTTTGTTACCGTTACCACTTTAGGTGCAATCTGAATTAATTCTAATCTGCATAAGTTTTATATTTGGGATATTTTATCTCCCATTCCTTCTCCTCCTGCCAGGATGGAAAAGCTCTCTAGGATTATAGAGATACCTGTGCTATATTAAAAAGAGGTTGGGTGTCTTGATATGGAAGTCAGACTATATTTCAGCAGTTTGGTTGGGGTATGGAGAAAGAACGGGTCTTCCTACCGAATTCTTAACAGTAAAAACCTGAGCAGATAATGGCACACAAAACCCCTTCTTGCTCCTAAACTTGCTTCACATCTTAAAACACCAGGCAAGGAAGGAAAGTCTATAGGGTGGGAAATCTGTGTTTCCCATGAATCCTTCAGTGAGCATTAACGTGGGAGGAGGAATGGAAGACTGTTCTTAAATCAGCACCTCATGTTTACTGTACCTGTTTTGTATTTGGTCTTTTGTATTTAATAGGGTAGAATGGGATTGGGAAATACTATTGTGTTTTCACCTTCAGAGCACTGAATCTACAACCTGCTGATCAAGACCAGCATGCAACCATGTTGACCTCCTTTGGGGCAGGGGCCTTAATTGGGATGGTTTAGTTAAGCAGATATTTTTAAATTAGGTGTGTGTGTGTGTGTGTGTGTGTGTGTGTGTTAGTGTTATAATGGGTGAGTGAAGATGGGAGTATTGTTCAAACGGTAATACTTTGGTTTTAGGGGTGAATGATGGGTTATTGGAGCAAGAATGGAAGTGCTGCCTATAAAGCATCGCCCTTCTCCATTGCTTGTACCTTTGGAACCATAATGATTGTGGGGAAGTTTAACTTTGCCCCCTTATCTTGCTAGTTTTGGAAAGCTTGGACCAATGTTTAGAAGAGATTATTAAAAAAAAAAAAAGCATTTAAATCAGCTCACAGGCCTGCCTTCTTACTTGCAGACACATGATCTTCCTTCAAACACTGGTTTAAAGCACAAATATATATATATACATGCCCAAATGCTCACTCTGGGTGTTTCAGAAGGGAGTTGTTTGGTTACGGGGCAGGAGTGGCCAAGATCTGTTCACATTCCCCAAAGTCTGCTTTTAAGCCTAATGCAAAGGAAGTTCCTGATACGCAATCAGAGTGTTGCTCTTTTGAGACTGATTGGCAATCTCCCTTATGGATCTCCTTGCCCTCATTGTTTTCACTAGAAGCAGTCTCTTTTCAGTTTTTTTTTAATACTACAAAGTAATTATGTTTCCCTCAAGAGTTTTATTCTTAGAAAGGCAGACCTGTCAAACCAACTATCAACTATTCTTCCTTTTTCTTACCCCACCCCGACCCCAGCCTGGTTGTTCCATGAAATGAAAACATTATGTTAAGAGATCTTATGTAAAAAAAAATCATATTGAAATAACAATGCAGTGAGGTATCACAAGCCATCCATCCCCCTTTCTACACATCTCAGTCTTGCGCACAGTGTGGAAGCCACTTTGTATAAGCCCTTTACATGAATTCAGTGAATGGTTAACCTTTTTTTTTTGTCTCAGATGATATATATGCATTTTCAAAATTTCTGCATTACCTTGGGGGGAGGGAGGTTGGGGAAAAGGGGTTAACAGGAACTTAAAACTAAAATTAAAAAAAAAAAAACACAAAGCATTCAGACTTGATCTATTTTTTACAATGTATGCTGCGACCAGGTCCTGTTATTCATATTGTGGCTTTGAATCAATTATGTTGATTAAAATGCTGTTGCTTCTATTTGCCTGGTTTTTTTGTGTGTGTCTCCAGATACAATGATGTAGGTAAAAATACAAAAGATAATAGGGGAGAATTCTTGATGACATGACTGTAATTTCATAACCTGAGGCAAAATACATTTTTAAGACACAGGTAATTTTACAATCTGCAAACACTTCCCTTCTTCAACACCAATATCCTTTTATACCAGTTGGCTTGTGGCCAGACAGGACAATTCTATTTAATCAACCTGGAGGTGCAGAAATATTTTAAAAAAAATCCATCCTATGCAGGAGCTCGGTTTTGACTGCATGAATTCAAGATATTTCTATAGAGGTACATGGCTATTCAGTGTGGTTTTACTTCTAGACAAAAATGTAACAGTACCTTTGGGCTAAGAGTTACTTTGAATAGGGGGGAAAGTGGAGTATTTTTGAGAAATGAATTCAACTCAGTGATACCATATTTCAGCAAATATACCAGCAAACTACTCTCTAACTTAAAACAGCTATAGAACAAACACATGAGAAAATTATGTGACAGTCTAATGTGGCTAATGCATGCCCTGTTAGAAACAACCTACTTGGAATTCAGATAACTGGTCAGTAAAGCTGGTTGATGGCAGCTCAGTCCCCCCCCCCCACAACCTCACCCAAAAGGCACCAGAAAATAGGTGTGGGAAATTTGACCACATTGTGTTACAACAGTTCCCTTTTTCCACACCAGTTGTGGATTCCCAGAATCAAAGGCAACCAGCACCAGAAAATAATCCTGCGGAAATACTGAGGGATTGCCTGTTTCAGGATCCTGGGTATAACTCCAGAGCCTTTCCCTTTAGATTTACAGGGCTGGGGGACATTGGCCCTTTTATGACTTGTGGACTTCAACTCCCAGAATTCCTGAACCAGCCATGCAACTCCCAGAATTCTGGGAGTCGGAAGTCCACAAGTCATAAAAGGGCCAGCATTCCCCACCTCTGCTTTAGAATATGATGTCCTCCCAAATGGAAGACCATTGAGAATGTTCTGGCTGTGGCTATCAGAAACAAACACACCCCTCTAAAATAGGCCACTTGGATAGTTCTTCCACTTCTTGTACCTCAGCTGCTTTTTCGCATGTATTTCCTGCCTTTCGCAGTGGTTTATTCCAACACTGCTGGCCCTTCCTTGGACAACTTGTTCTTTACAATTTGTGCTGGAGACTTTGAAAGTTTCCTGATTTAAGAGATTGAAATGCTACCCTGTTGCCTCCAGCAACCTTGTGCAGCGTATTATGAAGTGTCCCCAGCAGAAACATTTTTCAGGTATTTGTATCGGTAGTGTCAAAGAATGCTGCTGAAAAAATTAAATTTCAAGACAAGTTTCATCTGCCCTTTTAGCAAGTGCTTTTATTACTTCTGCTGGGACTTTCTTAGATTCCTTCAGAGGAGACATTAATGCAGGGTTGGTGTCTGAGCGTCTTCCTGTTTTTGTCTCTTTTAGCTGGAAACAATTGACTCTTATCTAGCTTCTCTGTTCTGTATTTGTTACCTATGCACCTACAGGAGTCCTTTCTTCCCATCACAGAAAACATCTCTGAAGCTCCTCTTGAATGCTGCCTCAGGTTTATTCAGGTGTTCGTGTCTTTGAAGACCCAAATTTCTAACATGGCATAACTGCTGCTTTTGAGACCATTATTTAACCAAAATGCAATAGGAACTATGAGTACCTGGTACCGTAATAGAACCAACAGGTTTCTTAGAATAGGTACAGTTTCTTAAATAATTTCACCTTATGTTACAAAACAATACATTTAACTTAGGTCCACTCTCTCCTAAGACAACTTGCCCCCTCTTCCATTTTAACAAAGTATAATGGGTTTTCAACAAGCTAATTTTAGTGGCAACCTACTTTCTTTTTATAATAATGTCAAGCAGGCTGAATCAAACATAAATTTTCATGGCACATAGTTTTACTGCCACCATACCTATTAACACAGGATCGGGGCAGTTGTTGAAAGCGTTTGTCCCTCTTCCAAACTTTCTTTTGTTCTCTCCAACTTCCTTAGATTACCCAATTACAGAAAAGGATTTTACAGCTGCCTTTTCAGCTATAGGAAGAAGAGAGTCATAACTGACAACAGAGCCAGGATGCATTTCGCCTTGCAGCTTTCCTTTCGAAATGTCCTACTCATTCATGCGGACACTGATGTGTTCTTCAAAGAGAGCAATGCAGAGCATAAGGCCGCCTCCACAGAAAAAGCCCACGTTCTGAAGAACGAAGTGTCTGAAGGATCTTTTTTTGCTGCTGGTAGAATGCCGCTGCAACATTTCAGGTAGCTAGAGAAAAACAACCAGCTGTTATCACCTTGACAGCATTCATAGTCTAGTTAGTGCAAACTGACTGATGGGATCTTTGCCCATAAGAAGTTAGCAACAGCAAACATTTGATTAGTCATAACTTTATCAAATGCTGGGCTACTTGAGTCCTTAAGCAATTCAGCACCAGGTGTTTTCCTCATGAAAACTTTCATAGGGCCACTCATGCACCAGGAGGTTTTCAAGAAGTTTTCTAAGGAAAGTGCCAGGTAGGGTAGGAGGCATTTTTCTGAAATTTACTTGCAGTTTGGATTTTAGAGTCACAAGCTCTAATTCCTCATAAGTCTCCTACATGTCCTTTTAGATTTATTCTCATTTCCGATTCTATAAAGGGAGGAACAATAAGAAGCAAAGTGTCTGAAGTTACAGTTCTACCTTTCTTGTTCATTCTCTTTTCTACCCAAAAGGTTTGGTAATCCACTTCTATAGTATTGGGGAGATAGGAAGAAACGTTAATATTCCAAATAAATGGTTTAAAATCTCAGAGACTAGATGCTGAATTCAGAGAGTTAAACTGGACCTCCATTGATCTTGAAAAGCTACAGCAGATGGGACGAGGCAGGAATCAGGGCCAGATCTACCAAGAATCCAAAAAAAAATCTCAAATTTTGCATGTGTCTACACACAAGCCTTGCATGTTCCCTTCCCGTTGCTTGGTTGAGGCCAAAGCTTTAGATCTGAAAAAAAAAAAACATTTTCCCCCCCCCCCCCCCTGCAATTTGGGCATCATTTTCTCTCTCCCAATTTAAGTACAGAATTGTTAAGACTAAAACACCGATTTGTGCTTTTCATAAGTGTGAGGAAGGAAGGCAATAAGTTAGAAGGAACATTTAACATTCTGTGATCTCCTCTTCTGTCATTGTGGTGATTGGACTTGGAGTAGAGAGGCTTGGTTCAAGACTCCAGATCCCTACAAAGTTCAGTGGGTGAGTTTAGGCCCTTTGGTGTCAGCCACTCTTTCTTCATTGCTACCATAAAGATAAAATTAGGGAAGACTCCCGCATATACTGGTAGGAAGTATAGGTACAGGTAGAAATAAGTAAATTAAGACTTGCATCATACAGAGAGAAATGAAACATCCTTACCATATCAACCAGAGCTACGTAAAGGAAAACACCAGCCGTGGTGGCAAAGATCCAGGGAGTGACTTGAGAAGTGTTCTGACTGACAATTGTCCCTAACATCATGCCCCAATAAGCCAGGAAAGCAGACAGCAGGTTAAACAACAGCACCCACCGGAAAGTCATGCCTGCCCGGAGTAGAACAGCACAGTCTCCTGCCAAAGACAAGAGAAAGTTAAGGCTACCTCAACCTCTCTTGAAACCAGCAATGTCTACTGTAGACAAGGAACCTGTCATGGCAGGGGTGACCATTTTGGCTTCCGTGGGGCTTTGGGCAACCTTGAAAACAAGACAAAAAGATCAGATACTCCTGAAGCAGGACTATCCCTTTGTTCACTCACCCAGTTCATGGGGTAGTTCATGGCAGAGGACTGCCAATGTAGTACTTAAGCCACTGGAGAGTCCATTCGAGAAGGCAGCCCCTGGAGAAGAAGAATAGTGTAGCAAGGCACCCAAGTCTAAAACAGCCTATGTGGCGTAGCAGTGTTGGGCTAGGAGGAAGAAGTCTTGGGTTCTAGTCTGCCATAAAAGTTCCCTGGCAACTGTGGGATTGTCACTTCCTCTTACACCAGCCTCCCTCATAAGGTTGTGGGGGAGAGGAAAGGCAGGAAGAGGAAATGCTATGTGTGCCACCTTAAGCGCCTTAAGAAAAGGTTCTGCGGGGAGACTATTCTCCTTTTCTGTCACAAGATGGGAGCAAGGTGTGCTTAGAAATCACTGACCTATTGCCAATCCATCTGTGAAATTGTGGACCCCATCCCCAAGGATAACCATCCAAGCGATGTCAGCGATCCCAGCCTTGAGAGTCCCAACCGGGCTGTGGGAGTGACCGTGATGATGTATCTCTTCTGTTTGCTTCTCCAGGCTTTTCCTGTGATCTTCTGAGTTGTGAATTTCAATGGAGTAGTCCTGGACTTCACCATATACATTTCCAGTGTCCTCTCTTGGCACTCTCAAACTCTGCAATTCAGCACCTGAAAGGTTTAGACCATTATTTTTTTTTAAAGAGCTGTTTAACTTGCTTCTCACACATCTTAAGATTTTTAGAAGGTGTGACTGAGAGCCTAGGAAATTGAGAACATGCCAAACAATGCACAAAGCAGGGGTGTCAAACTCAAGGCCCAGGGAGTGCTGAGAACTGGCCCACCTGGCCTCCCTAGAAAAAGCGAAGGACTGGCCTGCGCTGCCTCTGCCAGTGAAAACAGGTTCCCGAGCTCCATTTTTGGCTGTGACAGCCTCCTGCAACCCTCTGCCAGTGAAAACAGAGCCATGGCCCTCCCAAGCTGTTTTCACTGGTAGAGGGTTGCAGGAGGCCGTCGCAGCCAAAAATGGAGCTCGGGAGGCCATTTTCATCAGCAGGCACCCCCAACACAAGTGACATTGAACTGGCCACGCTGACCCCAACCACACCCCCGAGGTCAAACACAACCCTGATGTAGACCTCAATGCAATCAAGTTTAACACCCCTGCTCTAGAGCTACCTCCAAGAATAAAGGAGCTAAGGTCTGTCTTGTTTCTTAATCTGATTCAATTTTAGGAATAAA